TGGGACAGGAGGCAACAGTTAGAACTGGAACAACTGATTGGTTCAAAACTGGGAAAGGAGTACGACAAAGCTGTATATTGTCTCCCTGCTTATTTAACATATGCAGAATACATCATGAGAAAGTCTGGACTGGACGAATCCCAAGCTGGAATTAAGATTGCCGGAGAAAATATCAACCACCTCAGATATTCAGATGTTAGCACTCTGATGGCAGAAAGTGAGGAGGAATTAAAGAACCTTGTAATGAGGGTGAAAGACGAGAGTGCAAAAAATGGTCTGAGATTCATCATCAGAAAAACTAAGATCATGGCCATAGGTACCATCACCTCCTGGCAAATAGAAGGGGAAGATATGGAGGCAGTGAGAGATTTTACTTTCTTGGGCTCCATGATCACTCCAGATGGTGACAGTAGCCATGAAATAGAAAGACGCCTGCTTCTTGGGAGGAAAGCGATGACAAACCTTGACAGCATCTTAAAAAGCAGAGACATCAGCTTGCCGACAATTATCCGCATAGGCAATGCTATGGTTTTTCCAGTAGCGATGTATGGAAGTGAGAGCTGGACCGTAAAGAAGGCTGACCACCGAAGAATTGATGCTTTTGAATTGTGGTGCTGGAGGAGACTCTTGAGAGGCACCTGGATTGCAAGGAGAACAAGCTTAGCCATTTTGCAGGAAATCAACCTTGAGTGCTCAGTGGAAGGACAGATTCTGAAGCTGAGGCTCCAATACTTTAGCCATCTCATGAGAAGAGAAGACTTCCTGGAAAAGAGCCTGATGTTGGGAAAGTGTGAAGGCAAGAGGAGAAGGGGACGGCAGAGGAAGAGATGGTTGGACAGCGTAATCAAAGCTACCAACATGATTTTCACCAAACTCTTGGAGGCAGTGTAAGACAGGAGGACCTGGCGTCCTCTGGTCCATGGGGTCACAAAGAGTCTGACACGACTTAACAACTAAACAAAAATAATAATACCAGGTTGGGGGGTTGGGGGTAGTTGTGCTAATACAACTGTTTCTTTATCAGTAATGTATGTGAAGCTAAGGAGGCTATGACTTCTCTGTAGCACAGATACTATTTAGATAGACAGCATTTGGATTCCTCGTAACAATTCCATATCCTTTTAACCACAGAATCTAGCTGCTGCTAAATGAGACTTGTTAGTCACGATTAATTCTTGTTGCTTTGATTTCCATGGTCTGCTCTAGGCAGAATTAGCATTAGATTTGATCTTGCATGTCATATTAAGACTAGCAGACATTTGCCCCTTGATGAATTTCTGTTTTTTCTGGTTATTTCCATGTCTATCAACTGAAATGTACTGAAAGGCACCTACAATATTAATTCCACAAAACTGAAACATAAGCAAATCCAATGGTTGTAGATTTTTCAGGCAGTTTGGCCATGTTCTGAAGGTTGTTCTTCCTAACATTTCACCAGTCTCTGTAGCCGGCATCTTCACAGGACAGGAGTCAGAACTCTGTCTGTGCTCTGGTTTTGCAGTTTTGTGGGTTAGTTGAGTATTTATAGCGGTGGGGTCAGCTTTTGTCCTTTTCAGGAGATTGGGTTATGGTGATCAGCGTGTTTCTTGTTGTTGGTGTATTGTTGTGATAAGGGGGAGAGATGATCTGTCACTGTGATTGATGGGTGTCATTAGCTGGGCTTTTGTGTGCAGTGCTCACCAGTCCTTGTGGCTGGATAGAGGTCGTTGACCTTTTGCAGGCTGTATTTTTCAGTGCTGGGAGCCAGGCTTTGTTGAGTTTTTAGACTTTTTTCTTTTTTTGTTGAAGCTCTGCTGGTTTTTGTGGATTTCAGTGACTTCCCTGTGCAGTCCTCTGAAGGTGCCGGCCACAGAGACTGGTGAAACGTTAGGAAGAACAACCTTCAGAACACCACCAAAGAGCCTGAAAAACCCACAACAACCATTGGATCCTGGCTGTGAAAGCCTTCGAGAATACATAAGCAAATCTATTTGAATTAGTGCACTTGCTTTGGAATATGGAACTGTGAAACAGAAATGTGGTGATTTACCCCTCAATGTCTGGAAAAAGGGGTGAAATTAAATCTGTATTGACCTCCTTTTACTAATTTTAATCTCTATTTTTGAATCATTGTTTGTGCTGTTGTACTGTAGAACGAATAATTTTTCATATATAGTTGCAATGGGATACAGTAGTTTTTTATTTTTTGCTTTGCTACAGTAGAAGCATGTCTACAGTCATTTGCCGGAATCTTGTTGCTCAGCTTCATGTTGTGCAACTTGGATGCCGTCATGAACCATGGCTGTTTGGGGGTGGGATTAAAAGTTCCCTATTCTACCCATAGCCCCCGCCCTCCCATATGTACTTGCCTCACTGTTAATACAGCTAGTGAAAGCTGCCAACCTAAGGGAAAAGCAACACAGCCAGATTGGATATTTATTCAGATAGTGTAGTTGTATCTAAGCTGTGTTATTTTGAACAGATTATTAAATTGTGTATAACCTTATTTGTACACCACTCAAGATGGAGGCCATTGTTGGAGCAAAAAAAAATTCATTTTCAGAACAAACATGCTAAACTTGTAACACCGGGTAGAATCCTATTCTTCAGATATGCAGACATAAGCAGAATGTCATAAATCACAGGGGTGAATTGCCACCAGTTAAGGGGCCACTGCTTATATTCCTTGTTATCTATCAAGTCACATGTGTGTGATGAGAAATAGAAACCATTGCTTAATTAGCAGCAGTTTAGTGCTGTGATTTGTCATGTTGCTTTACACTGACATATCTAACCTGTTGGATTCTAGCCTTATAAACGAATGCTTCAGTTAAAATCAGGCAAGGTTTTGTTTGCAAAGTCTTGTAACTTTTAAGCACATTGGTTGCTACATACTTTTTGTATTGTCTTTTATAACTTTTAGACAAAAACTCTTGTGAAGGCTTCTAGCTTTCTAAATCATCCATAAAGGATGTTTTTCCAAACTAAAGTTATTCAGTGTTCTCATCAGTTTCTCAAGTAATGCCAGATTGTAGGTTTATGGGAGACTAGAGATACTAATGGTTCTAATGCCTTCTCTTGTAGAATCTGTGTCGTCACTCTTGCAGATGCCCACCCTCTTCTTCAAAAGGGGAAACGAATTGAACGTATCAATTACCAGATCAGTGCCAACTGCAGCAGGTTGCAGAATAAAGTTTCTGGAAAATCTAAACGGGTATACCTCACTTTTGTTTTTAATGTGATGAAAATTCCCTCCCTCGTGTAAGGAAATATTTAGCAAGATTTTTTTTACACACTCACACACACAAAGAAACTCTGTAGAACCTATCTGTTCTCAAGAAAACTTCATTTTTCATTACGGAGCTATCAGAAATAGGGAGGGGAGAGAACCGGTTCGGAAGTGTGCGTTGGTACACATACTCCTTCCATCATAGCATAAAGAATTGCATACTGTCAAGTTGATCCCGACGTGTGGCAACCCTTCTCGGGGTTTTCTAGGTACGAAACACTGAGAAGTTGTTTACTATTCTCTTCTTCTCTGGCTGCACTGGGACATTGCTTTCCCAAGACCACACAGATTGGCTTCTATCCCAGGAGTCACAGTGGGAACTGAACTCCTGACCCCTGGTGCTACAAATCAGGTGTGCCAATTCACTAAGCTATTCAGCTAGCAAAACATAGTGTTCCAGGTCTTTCTGTCCCTTTGCTCAGAGATCACTGGAAAATGGGGCAGATGGCTGCTATGTAGAAAAACATTCTTTTGTTTGGAGACCTTGCTCATCTTCTGGGAATGGTGAGCAGCAGCACAGGCTCATACGAACTTGCATATGCATGCTTCTGCCGTCAGCTTCTCTGAGCTGTGCTGGTAGCTTAGAAGGAAAGATGGGTAATACTTTTAAGAACAATAATGACCTGTCCTGTTGCTGTCTAGTTTAGGTTTAGTGAACTTAGCAGGATTGTCTCACAAGTCTACTAACAAATCTTGTGAAGTAGGTTGTGCTGAGACAGGTAAGTTGGGTAACATCAATTGAATGTGTTTCCTACTGAATAAGCTAGTTAGTTTTGTCCATATGTAAAGAGGAACCTGATAACATATAATGCACAACATGATTTGTTCTAAGACTTTTTTTATTTGTGTCAGTGAAAGAATGCTGCTTCACTTTAAGGCTGCAGTTCTGTATTGGGAATCCATCCTCACTGAATTCAGTGGAAATTCCCTCTGTGTCGATGTGCAGAACTACATGGCTAGTAAGCATATCCACTAGTAAAAAAAAAAACATACTGCTCCCACATGTCATTTTCCACACCCCTAATTAACTGCACGCTGTGTTTTTACGCAGGGAGCTCAGTTTCTAACAGAACTTGCCCCCCTGTGTCGAATATCCTGTTCAGATGGAGAAGAATATACCATATATAGGTAAGTTTGTGTAGGGCTGTTTATTGATATTGCTTTGCTTTTATTGATCTACAATTTACTAAATGAAAATTTCTGCAGCTGTATAAGAGGAAAATTAATAGAAGTGAATGAAAATATTCTGGACAATACATCTCTCCTCCAAGAAAAGGTGAGCATTTCAAACTAGACATTAGTTCCTTCTCTTTTCCTTACCGCCCCCCTCCCCCGCTTTTTATCTCACTCTTTATTCTTTTTTACCTTCTCCCTAGCCTTTCACGGAGGGATACATTGCAGTTGTACTCCCAAAGTTTGAAGAAAGCAAGAAAATAACTGAAGGGCTTTTGACGCGGAAAGAATATGAAGCAGTTTTGTCAAAACGGTTTAATTCCATTCCATGATACAATACCAAGAATGAGATCTACATATATTTCGTAACAAAAATATGAATTCTGTAAGACACTTTCCAGTATATCCCATTATAGTAACTTTCATATTTTAAAAGTGGTGAAAATGAGATAAAAATTCTGTGATTTTGCAACAGCAACATTATTGATAAAGTTGTTCATTTTCAGCCAAATGAGGCACAATAAAGACAATTTCAGGCACTTGTTATAGTATGAAATGTGCTTAAATCTGTCTCAGTGTCAATGAAACTTCAAATGACTTCATGGCTGGACTTCAACCCTAGTGTTTTATTTAGAGGAGCAAGGCCAAAATATTGTCCAGGTTTGCGTCAATGAAAGTTTTTGTTTGCTAACAGTACACGTTTGTCTTCTATTAAGTGAAAACTGAATTGGGACAACATACAATCAGATTTTTACTACTACTAAAAATTCTGTTGTCAAAGGTTTTAGCATTGAAGCTTCTATCTGAATGAAGCAAAACAAAGTCAATACCACAACGGAATACTTACCATCACACACAGCAGTCCCTATCCTATATTGGCTTCAGACATCCAATTTTGGGGGCAGAACTTCCAGGACCTTTCCCCATGCTTGCTAGCTTTCTACCCATACAGCTGGTGGGAATGATGATGTGGTTGAAATTGCAAAAGCGAGTTGACAAGTGGTTGATGACTCAGTTGTCTTTTTTATCTTTTTTTGTCCTACATAGCCCTTCCTTTGTGGGCTTAAGTCAAATAGGATTCGAAAACCTCTCACTGTCATTCACTCACAGATTTCTATTCTAAAATAAGGTAAAAGTCAGGCAATGCAATCTACAGTAATTGTATTAATGATTTTTCAAAACCATCTCTGTCTACAGTATTCCAGATTGGGGTCTGTAAATAAGTGCTGATATTAAAATCTAAACAGTGAAACACAGGACCAATGCACGTATCTTAGTTAACACAGCAAGAAAACATACATTTTAAAAAAGCTTGACAAAATTATTTCATCTGTACTTAAAAAAAGTAATGCCCTCTTTGTAGTGACTGGCTTTAATACCTACAATCTGTTTTTGAAGTTAACTTTGTTCTAGCTAAAAAAATAATAATGCTCTAATGTTACATGTAAGGCAACACTCCTCAACACACAAAGAAGTTATTCCTACCAAACAGCTGATTTATTTCAGGTAGATGCTTAGATCACATTGTAGAAATTATATAAAGTGTGTGTGATATAGAAAGGAGCAAGGCAAAAGCAAGTAATTACAGCTGGTTTGATTAACACTACTTATCTTTCATATTTAGCCTTAATAAGGTGGTAGACTTATTTTATAAAACTGAGGTTTTGTGATGGCCTTCATCATTAAAGCTTTCTTGTAACTAAGACTTCTATAAGAAAGGACAGCAGTGTGAGTTTCTATGGACCAAATCTAGCCCTTTAAAGAGATGCTGCCTTTCTCTTCTCCCACTACACCCTTCCTATTGCCAAATCATGTGGTTAAAGTGGAGTCTGTGGCAATAGAACCTGATGTCAGAAAGTGGGAATTGAGTTGCCAGTCCAACTTTTGTTATTCCTTTTCCCAAAGCAGCCCCTTGCAGAGTAACTACTTGTAACAGACCAGAGTCCTAGGTTAAACAAGTTAAACAAAAAAACAGTAGATTTCTATGTAGCTTATCCAGGACTACCCAGTTTGTGTGCATAAGCATCCATAGCAGCATCTTTGGAGTTTAAAGAATAAGACATTCATAAGTGTACACGATTTTTAAAAATAGCAGTATTAAGTGTGAACAAAAAATACGCAGCCATTAAAGTTGACTGTTGCTTTTGTTAACTGCCAAGTACCATGACATCTATTAGATGTGAAAAGGTTACAGATGCCCTTTCTAACCTGGTTTCACCTTCCTCAAAAGAAAGCAATTAGAACAGGCTTTATGTATAGCTCCTGTTAGGAAACCTTTTCATTCCCTTCAAGTGCCTTAGAAGTGTTTATTCTCCAAAACTGTGAGGTTTGCTACATGTTGTTCCAAGGATTTGATCCCAAATGAGTCAGTTATCCCAGCCAAGCCACTGCTTTCTCTTGGAGCTGCATGTAGACCATTTTCTTTCCAAGGAGGATGTGCTCTAAAATAACCATTTCCTGCTTTATGCTGCAAAGAATATAGTAGATAAAAAGAGAAATTTGTGTTCTTTCCACAAATGCGCTCATTTTGCCCTATTTACAGAAATGCAAACTCACCTTCCTCAGTAACTTGCAGCTGAGGGGAAGAACTTGCACCAGTATATCCAGAATATTCTTCCCTTTGTGAATACAGGTATCCACCTAAATGCATAGGAGATTGAGGGAAGAAATTAGCATTTATTTATTTATTTATTTATTTATTTACTTACTTACTTACTTACTTACTTACTTACTTACTTACTTACTTATTTATTTTGATTTATACCCCACCCATCTGGCCTATAAAACCACTCTAGGCGGAATGTAAAAAAATACCATTCCCTCATAGCACATTTATTAGTGGTTCAGACTCCATTACAGTTAATTTTTTTGCTCTCTGTGGCATTTCTCGCTTTCTGAAAGAGGTAAAGGGCACAATCTACCCAGATTTCTCTTGCCAACTGAAATGTACAAAAACAATAAATAGCAATGATAGTGCAGTTGCACAGCTCCCAATTACTTAAACAGACATTTTGTTAGAATATCCTGCTAAATTGTGTCCCAGAACTGGAACTGTGAACTGATTGAAGGTATTTAATAAAATAAACCAACTGACCCACATCTTGTGCAGCTACACAGGTGATGTATCTTTTGGAGGCAATGTGCCCCGCATAAAGGAATCAGCATAGACATCAGTTACACAGCTCAATATGCAACAAATAATGTCTACAGTGATTCCTTAATTTAAGGCAATTAACTTCCAAAGTTCAGTTGTGCTACACCAATGTAACTATGTGAAAAGATTTGGGCCATTATCTGGTTTTAACTAACCAATTGATTACATTTTTAAAATCACTGCTGACATAGCCTATGTTGACTCCTGCAGAAGGTTGATTAGTTGCTATTTCAAAGTGTGTTTCAATCCTAATAGAAAATGAGTTTATTTTAGTAATTTCACACTCTATTCAAAATTCAGCACATGGAACCAACACTGTTGTTCTTATATCAACCTACTTATATCAACCATCAACCTACTTCCAACTTAACAGTAGTAAGCAGTGGGGATGGAGGAGAGAACGGAGCAAGAAAGAATGGAAATTCATCTCCTCCAAAAGTGTAATTAGCAACCCTGCTCAGGTCTTGCAAACTAAAGGCCATGGCTTCCTTTGTCAGTCCATCTAATTGTTTTTCTCTTCCTGTTGCTTTCAACTTTTATTGCCACTATTGTCTTTTCCATGAGTTCTCTCTTATGATATGTACAAAGTATGAAAAAAACCTCATTTAGTCATTTTTGCTTTTAGAGTTTAGGCTTGATTTGATCTAGCACCCATTTGTCTTTCTGGCAATCCATGGTACAGTATTCATAAAGCTCCAATCCCAAATATTGGATGAATTAATTTTTCTTCTTGTCAGCTTTTTCCACTGTCAAGCTTTCACAGCTGTATACAGCAATCAGGAATTTGATAATCTGGATGATCTTGGCCTTAGTCTTCAGTGACACATTCTTACTCTTGAGGATCTTTTCTAGTTGCTTCAGAGCTGCCCTTCCAAGTCTCAGACTTCCTCAGACTTCCAGTATGCAGCCTGTGGCAACCCCAGACCTACTGGAGTATCCCACCCTTTAGTTATGCTGCCACCAACCCATTCCCTATAAGGAGTCACACAGACCAGGAATGGATTTTAATAAACAAAAGAACAAGGTTTATTGAAACAACAAACAGGGTAAATAAAAGGATCAGGTAAATAGGAAACTGGAACTTGGTATAGTCCCAATCATACACCCACAACAGATTGGTTCCCCCGGAACACTTTAAGGTAACGCACAGACCCTGAACCTATCAGTTCTGGCTACCTAGATAGAAACCTGAACCTATCAGGTATGTACTAACTGACAAACAGTTGTACCCAGTCTGACACACAGACTCCAACTCTCCTTCTCCACCCCAGCTCCAAATATATATACAGTACAGCTCCTCCCCCCTGATGTCCCGCCTTCCACTCCCCATAGGATGGAACTTTCCCTCCAAACCCATGACAGTCAGGTACCATCAGTGCTGTATGTGACACAGCCTTCATTTGGATTGATGATTGAAACAATGTGCTGAACATGATTTAACTATTTTGATTGTTTCACTGTCAACCTAAAATGTAATTCTCCTGTAGTCATGTTTTTTTCCTTCTTAATGTTCAGTTATTGCTTTAGCATTTTCTTCTCCTTGCTCAGAAATCATTTCAAATCCTTGCTTTCTTTCAGTAATACAGTACCATATGCATATCTTGAATTACTGATATTTCTTTCACTCCTCCTTTATCTTAATCTAACAGGTTTTGTTAAAGAACACAAAGAAAGAAACAAAGTATCAAGAGTTTGTTCGAAACTTGCTAAACAGTTTACCTTTGTAAAAGTTGCAGTTTTACCCTGGACAAGAGTTCTAGCTGTTACTTGAAGCTGCTGACATGCAGGGACCATCCTGTCAATCTCTCGCAGAAGCAAGGGCTTGTCATCATCTTCTAGCTGAAACAGTAATTAATTTGAAATATTAATTGAACTAAAATTGTCTGCAGAGCCATTGAATTATCAAATGGCAGAAAACAGGCTTCTTAAGAATAAGAGGCTATTCAACTGAAGAGCAGCTCTCAGTTACAGTCCAAATATTTATAGCTTTTTTTCAGGTGGGGTTTAGAACAAGCGTACGTGAACCATTTGTTTCTAGGATGAAGGTACTACTTCATTCTCTCTACTGGAACAAATAAGTCACTCAACTAGTCTTCCAATGGCCTGATGAAAATACTTGTTTCTAACTCCAATTATGTCAATGTGAGGCAAATGAACAGTGAGGATGGAGGAGAGAACGGAGCAAGAAAGAAATGAAAATGCAGTTGCCATGTTGTCCAGCTGGCTGGGTTTTTCCTTGAATTCTAGTCCCATGCCACTTTGTATTTCTTATTACCTGCCCTGGATTCCCAGCTTTCACTGAAAAAAGAGTAAAAGTATATAAAGTCTCCGGCAGATAAAAGAATATATTAAAATAATCAAAGAAAAAATAGCTAGTTTCCTATCTGTAAAGCAGCTGTGAAAAGAATACTTCTGAATAGGAAATTAAGAATGTGTCTGCTCACTCATTAATCCTTTTATGGCCCACCACATGATTCGTATGATAAGCAAATAATTTGTGTAATGTTGCTGCCTGAATATGGGATATTAAAATATGCTAACCCTGAAAAAAACTGGTGCTTGTTGAAGATTAGGAAGACAGGAGGAGAGTTGAGGGGTATAACTGAAAAGGCACTGGGTGGTGGATTCAGGGGTTATTAACCCATACAAGGGGACGTGGTGGTGCTGCGAGTTAAACTGCAGAAGTCTCTGTGTTGCAGGGTCAGAAGACCAGCCGTTGTAAGATCGGATCCACACGACAGAGTGAGCTCCCATCACTTCTCCCAGCTTGTTGCCAACCTAGCAATTTGAAAGCATGTAAATGCGAGTAGATAAATAGGTACCACCTCAGTGGGAAAGTCAGTTCCGTGTCTAGTCATGCTGGCCATGTGACCATGGAAACTGTCTTCAGACAAAAACGCTCACTCTGTGGCTTGGAAACGGAGATGAGCGCTGCGCCCTAGAGTCGGACATGACTGGACTAAGTGTCAAGGGCAACCTTTACCTTTTACCTAACCCATACAAAGCTGGAACAGGCCAGAAAAGTGTGCAATTGAGAAAGAAGAAGCCAGTAGGAAAGAGCATAAGGAGGAAGTAGAGAAAAAGCACTGCAGTGGGGGAGGGGTGCTAATAAGGTTTGATTCCAAGCAAACCTGAGTGTTTTGAACTACTTCTAGTATGAAAGAGCAGTGTTCAGAAATGTGGAGAAAAAGCTGTTTTATTATTTGGAAGTTATACAGTACCTGGTTAGAAAATGAAAGAAGAGCTGAGGCAAGCTTTAGTCCTTCTGTAGCAAAGGCCTAATACAGAGAAGAATGAAAAGTTAAATGCAGCCCCCAATCAATCAATCAATCAATCAATCAACCAATCAATCAATCAATCAATCAGTCAATCAATCAATCAGTCAATCAATCAATCAATCAATGCTCTGTGCTCCCTAAAGTGCACATGCCAGGCCTGCTTGCCTTGTGACCCAGCTAAGGTCTTATCAGCAGGAATGAATGTGTTTGCAAGTACTCCTGTTGATTTTCCAGTTTCAGGCAGGCACACATGGTGAGTTGCTACAGATGAATGATGATGAGCTACGTGAGCTTAAGAGGCCACAAAACTGGCAGCTCACTTACAAATGCATGTATGTAACAGCTCTTTAATTTACAATGATGTTCTATGTATACCCATGCACTTCTGGCCAACACCACGTTTCTCTGTAGTTTGTCCCAAAGTGAAGAGATTTTTCCTCTCCTATAATCCTTCACCAGAGGCCATGCTAGGTGGGGTTTCTGGAAGCTGAATTATACAAAACCTCTTTAGGTGATTGCCTTTGCTTGGAATAATTTGCAGATGATGCTCAGCTGGTAATACAGCAACATCCTCCCTCAGAATGCAGTTGAGGGATGGTGTGGATAGAACAAACCCACTTCCCTTCACTGCTCCTCAGCTCCACAACTTTAATTGCTATTTTTTTTCTGCAACAGGGCTGTATATTATTTAGGCATTAGACTTAGTAATAAGCTTTTGCAGATGCAAATATGCAGATTAGAAATCAATCCCCTTTTGGTTGCTTCATTACCTCTGCTTGCTGAAATAAATCCTGGGTAGTTTTCAGCAGCCCCTCCCCTCTAAATGGAAACAAACAAACAAAGCAAAATCAGCACCGACTAAAGATTATTTCATCTACAAACCCTGCAGCTCTGAAGAGTTGGTTGCTGAAGGTGTTTCATTGACTGAAAAAAAGCTCCCTCTACAGAGGAAGTTGGTATCTTGACTGCTTCAGCAGACACAAACTTGCAAGCAAACCTTTGTATTTAGTGGTAGTTGTCCCTGAGGATGCATGCTGAGGACTGGGCTGGTGGTGCCCCCAACCACATGGCAAAAAGAACAGTCACTGGGAATGGGGAAACACCGAAGGGTAACAATGAGATTGGTTTTATTTCTGTCTTGCTCAGGTTCAAAATAAGTAGTAGCAACCTGAGAGGTGTGCTAAATAGTGTTCAGATTTATTACACCCCTTGAAAGAGAGGTCTCCCTCCCCTGGCAAATAAAATCTAGATTTGTAGGAGGGCGAGTCAATTGTGGAAATTCTCTTCTACATACTGTATAGTTTTCACATTAATATCCCTCTCTCCTTCCATTTGTTTACTACCTTGTAAACAGGTACATGGAATAGGCCATGCTGGATAGACTTTGTCCATGTCGTACAATCTCATTTTCTGGATCTTCCCATTTTTCCATCTCAGAGTCAACACGTGTCGTCAGTTTATGAAGTTCTAAGCCTAATATCCCAAGTTTTGTTTGTTCCTGAGAATAATACAAAAGTCATTCCCTTCTACTCACAGAGGCTAATGACCAAAAGCAGATATGTACCAGTCGATATAACATGCATCTTACCTCATTATCAAGCCTGGCTGGCTTTAAGGTTTTCAAATTTGCATTATGCTTCTGTTAAAAATAAGAAGGCATTCTTAAAGGAAGATTTACTAACATAGAAGATTTACTAACATAGTTTAATTTAATTTTGTCTATTTTATCATGTCTATTTTTATGAAAGATTTACTAACATAGTTTAATTCTAATTAGACCTCCCGCACTGGTGGAGATAACGAGGGTCCAGCCCCATGGGGTTGGGTGGTCTACTCACCGATGCGCTAATGCCGTGGGGTTCACACTCCTGTCCTATCATAATCGCCAAGCCACTCCTGGCAGGAGGCAGGACAACAAGCCTTTCTGCCATGTCGAAGGGTAGCTCCGTGATCACGATCTCTGGAGCGATAGGATGGGAGCACGGACCCCGCAGCATTAGCACATCGGTGAGTGGACCATCCAGCCCCATTGAGCCCAACCCTCGTTATCTCCACCTGTGCAAGGGTATTTGTATCCCTATACGAATACCCCCATCTCTAATTCTAATTTTACTATTAATTAATGTTAAACCGTGGCTGTGGCATGTTGTCATTCAGTTATAGCTACAAGATCAACTATGACTACATGACCTTTGAGGTTTCTTCTGGGTATCTCAGAGATGTATCCTTAATAATTTTCAGGGTGGGGATGGGAGCAGCTGCAGTTGGCATCAGAAAGGCAAACTCCATTTGTCTTTAAATAACTCTCAGAGATGTGTCCTTAACAGTCTTCAATAATTTTCAGGGTAGGGATAGGAGCAGCTGCAGATGGCATCGGAAAGGCAAACTCCATTTGTCTTTAAATAATGTGTGGGAATCCCCAGACCCTAACACAAAATCTGGCCTTCTGAAACCCCAGTCTAACCTTCTGGGTTAAGGCCACCCAAATAGTCCCATGATATTATGGTTTGGTAGTCTAGCATTTGTATAGGTTTTCTCATTGTAAACAACGGGCATGCCTCTCCTATGGTTCAATGGATGGCAATAAGAGTTTTAACCTAAAATATATTGGCAATTTTGGTCAACACCTGTGTCACTGGCACTTGCCCCCCCATCTCCCCATACAGCCCCTGAGTACCACCTCTGAAATGGAATATACTGCCTTTGCTATAAAGGCGGGTCCAGCTTGCATACCCTTCTTTAATCACTAAATAAACAAATGCCAAATGGTTTTTTCTCTGTCTAGCATTCATGACTGTGATCTTCCAATTTTTATAATGAAACAAAAAAGGATAAATAAGGAGGTACTAAAGTAGGGGGGGGGGAAACACAATTGCCCCCACAGAAGAGAACTTACCCCTGGCCTAGGCAGTGACAGGTACACACGCTTCTCTCCTAAGAACAACACACCAAAGTGCAGTCATGTAGATTTCATGCTTGCATTTCACTTCATGTTTCATTTCTTTAGGCTGCTCAAAAAAACTTTTTTAAAATTACCTACCTGTAATGATTCCTCTTCATAGATCATACAGGACTTGTATTCTGCCACTGTACTTTCAGTATGTAAAAGGAAAATTCTACTACTTCTTATATCTGTGATCTTGGAAGCCCTGGTAGGTTGAATAGCAGCCCCTCCTCAATGACAGACTTTCTAAAATCTTCTATCTTTTGGAAATATTCAAGGGAAGGCCATTTCTACAGAGGGAAAAAGCTCACATCACGAGAGCTAGCATAGCAGTTAAGACAGTGAGCTGTGAGCCAACAAATCCAAGGTTCTAGATTGATCTGCAATTGCAAACGAATAAAGGCAGCCTCTAGCAAGCCAGGATGGTGCAAGTTCCCATCCATAATACTAGTCTATTGTAAATATGCCCTAAGGATAACTAAAACAGAGTCCATGAAACATTTAAGCATTTTAAATAGCAGTACCAACTGAGGGTCCTGAAACACTTTAGAAGACACAACCCAAAACTGATCCAAACTCAGCAATTTGATTTCAATAAAATAAATAAAAAACAAATAAACAAGAGCTCATTAGTACCTACTAAAACAATAAAATAACATTGAAAAGGCAAGTTAATGAGTCCTTCAGAACTGTTCATCAGACTGGGCAAAAGTTGAGATTGGAGGAAGAAGCAGGGAAGTTCAACAGTTTTGCTGTCTAGAGGTTGACCCACTAAGTCACTTGTTTCTACCTTGGGGCAGACGTATATCTACAGTTCCCACAACTATAACATCTCCTGGAATGGAATATTAAAAAAAAAAGCTGTTCCACTTCCTCTTCCCTTCCCAAGTTTTGTTAACATTCAGCCTGGTGAAGAATTCTGATGATATCTTGGTTGGGCAATAAAAGTCTTACCAGACTCTGCCTTTTGACTTTACACATAGACCATCTCCTCAAATTCATTTCAAAACTTGGGAGGGGGGGCTATAACATATGTTCTTTGTGATAGAAAGCAGAGTGTGGTGCTGCAGCTCTCTTTCCTCTAGGAAGTTTTTTCCCCCAAACCAAGCCACAGCTCAGTACCAGTCTTCGTCCCAGAAATTGAGTAAGAATAGGTTCTGACTGCTTGATCAAATACAAGAAAGGAGATTCTACGTCGTACATTTCCGAGGAAGAAAAAGATAAAAATCAGATGCAGTGATGCTAAATGGTAGCTAAAACACAAGATTCAAATGCAGTACTGCAGTAGTGCATGACTGCTAGCAGGACAGACTCCCCAGCCCATCAACCTCCAGAGCAGATCTTGAGGTGGCATGACAGCAGGAGTAGGGAGGGGTAGGTAGAGAGATATTCTGTTACTGGAATGACTAGATTTTCCCAAGACCATTCCAGTCCAATGTCCCTCCTCAGATAAATGCCAGAACCTAGAAACTATTAAAAAGCAACTCCATTTATGGAATATTCCATATTTTCTTATGTTCCTGACTTCAAAGATTTAAAGACCCTGGACCTGCCGGTGAAAAAAGGAGCACTAGGGTTAGAGGGAAAAATGTTGGGTTTGACTGACCTAATGACAGACTCAAATAGTTTTTTGCAACTCCTGGGATTCACAGTAAACCCTTGCTTTGAAAATCCGCATATTTGTGAGACCCTGAGACTTAGCAGTGTGCCAACATAAAAACCAAAGGCTAAAAAGCATAAAATTGAAAAATATAAGTATGCATGCTTTAGCTCATGGTTAAAAAGATTACATAAAGTACAGAAATGTTCAGAGTAGGTGAAATATGCAAAAAATGCATATGAATTTCAATGTGGAAAGAAAAAAAAACAGTTTCACAAAACCACAGGAAACAAGGACGGTAACAAAATCAAAGTGGATTTCAGAGAAGCAGAGAAATTGGAACAGATACGTTCACATCCCTAGACAGAACATAGTTGTAAGGATAGCTGAAGAGCAACTGAACGTGGAAGAGACAGAGGAGGCAGCTGAGGACATGGGGGTTGGTAGGGTGGCAGGATAAGGTACGTTGAGCCAGTGCTAAACTAGTATTAGTTGCAGCTCTTCCCATGAAGCAAGGAAAACACAAGTTTGAGTCAAAGAGTTCATTGTAAAAATACACTTGGTTTATTAGAAAGTGCCCAGCACATTTTGGTTGTTCTTCAGTCTTTTAACCATTGTCGAAAGCAGAGGCTTTCCCCTCACAAACTTTAACAGCATCCTTTCCCATCATACCCCAATACCAAAACCAAAAATTTGTGAAGTGACAGATTAAAAAATTACAACAGTGTAAAAATATAATGTCTGTAAATTAAGGGGCGAGGTGTAGGGGACTAGCCCACAAAACTTCCAGCCCACTTCTAGAGAAGAGGCTCAACCATCTTCCCAACAAGAAGAGAAATGCTAACAACCTTAACTGTACCAAAGAAATCAAAAAATACACTCCTCACTGTCAAGAATGTGCTTCCATAATTTTTCCTAGCAAGGGAGAGGTAAATTCAACTGTGAGATACTAGAACTTAGTAAACACCCAGAAGGATGGTGCACTGTATAACCTTGGGGTGAAATATTTTGTTCTCCAAAAACCTTCTCACACTACAACAACACAACTGATTAAGCAAACTGGGAAACTGTTGGTGAGACCTGGGATACCATCAGGTTGTCTGCCCTGCTGTCCGCTGGAGCTGGATTTTAGAGCCCATGAGAGCTACAGGACAGAGGAGGATCATCTTTCTCTGCACTGTGCTCAGAGAAGCCGTTTGTGCAAGCCCAGCAACAGGGCTGGAAGCCACCAAATATATTGTATTTATTTCAATAGGAGAATTAAAACATATGCCTAAAATTACCCCTGAGAAGTAAATGTGCTTCATTTTGGTGACGCTTTGTCCTAAGCTGCACCCAAGTGCATCTCCTCTGCAGAGCACTCTTGCTGGCGCTTTGAATACTGCCAGATAATATTATTCATACTTTAAAATTAGAATGAAAGCCACGCTACAGCTTCCCAGCCCCAATTCTGCTGGGTGTACAAATATATTAATAATGCATCATTCGGACTACATGGGAGGAGAATTGCTTTATCCCTGTCTTTCTTTTCCAGACAAATGGGCTAGGGGATACTTCTTCATTCCTAGATGTTCTCGGACTGCAATCCCCAGAAATACCGGTCAGCACAGCTAGTGGTGAAGGCTTCTGGGAGTTTTAGTCTAAAAACATCTGAGTTATCCAAGGTTGGGAACTACTGATCTAAACCATCTTTAAGATTACTGTAAGTGAGGTCTTAGAAGGCCTTGTGCTCATGTCCCCTCCTCCCTCTTCCATCAGGAGCCAGAAATGAAAGAGAGCATCTACTAGAACAGCAGCTGGAACTGTGTGGCCTTGGGGACACTCTTATAGACCCCATACCTTTCCTATACCATTAAAAAAAATAGGGAGAGAGAGTAGAAAGGGGAACTGTAACTTCTGGAAATTTCCAAGAATGGTGATTCATTCTTTAAATACATTTTAATCATTTTTTAAAAAATCATCAAACTGGAAGTGGTCGTTTGACCACTCCTGGTTGGTTGGTTTTCTCAGAGCTTTTTTGTTTTGTTCTGGTAGCGCTCAGTGTCATTTCCAGTGGGTCCCAAGAGCAGACATTTGGCCTCAAAAGCTTGTGGCCAAATGTGTCAGAGCTAAGCACAGTCCCTCATTTGTTGTTAAGAGCCATCAGGTTGCTTCTGGCTTCTAGCAACTCTAGGAATTACCTCCAGAAGACTGTATCATTTAACATCCCTGCTCAATCCTTGAATTCCCCATTACTTCTAAGCCAATGTTCCCAACCTTGGGTCCCCAGATGTTCTTGAACTAAAACTCTCAGAAGCCTTCACCACTAGCTGTGCTGGCCAAGATTTCTGGGAGTTGTAGTCCAAAAATATCTGGAGGCCCAAGGTTGGGAAGCACTGTTCTAAGCAATGCAGAGTGGAAAAAAGTCAGGTTATGGCGGCAGTTCTTTTCACTTCACTTTGTGTGAATTAACTAAAGATAGAATAGGGCAGAGCTGGCTAATTGCATATTCCTCCCATGATTCTAGTCTTGTACTGAACTTCTTTTCACCTGCCAAACAATATATTCTCATATTATCAAACATAAAATAGGAAATTATTTTAGAAAGCTGCCTCCCACCCTCCAGTCTCCTTTAGGCCATTTTAAAAGTGTCCAGAAACTCATTTCAGATGCATAGTATACAACATTTTGAACATTTACATAAAATACATAGCAAACATTTCACTGATAATGATGTCATACAATGCATTTTAAAGTGCAACACAATTTTGCCAAAAATAAAAACATTAAGGTCATCTAGCATAACACCTGCACTTTGGATATAGATTCCAGTTTAAAACATGTTTAGAAAAATATCAAATACACATTTGTTCCTCTTCCTTTGGGACATATGTCATCTGCGATAAAGGAGATATTTAGCCTCATCTCCTATTTTATATAAAAACTGTGTGTGCCGTAACAGCGTTGGCATGCCAAATTCATGGGTCATGTAATAGTGGGGGACCTGATAGGCCACAGTTCTTCTCTGTGTATGTAGGAAAACACATCTGCTCTTCATATCTTCAAAGAATCCTAATATTTCCCTAAAATTAATGGAACGTCATTCTTCTTGACCAACCTTCCCCACTGAATTCAGCTGGGGTGCACAAAACTGACCTCCCCTGGATAGCAACTCCTGTGTGGGAAGCACAATTTCTATATAGAGCATAAAAACCTTTCCCAATCAACAGGGACAATTAAAAATAAAGAACCAACACTATAGGCTATGGCTGAAATCCTGTTGCTTAATTTAGTAAGTTGCACTTGAGTAGGCCCACCGAATCAGCGGGGACTTTGTGAGTCAACTCCTCTATAAGTTGATTCAAATGTGCTTACTCTAGTTGCGACTTACTACTTTTATGCAACTTATCATGCAAAACGAAAGGGTTTCATCCTATAAATTAGAAATAGTTTCTTCCATCTAATGACACTAATCATGACCAACCTCTTTGACATTTTGTTTTATGTAGCCTTTTATGTTAATGGAATTTTAATTATTTCAGATTACATTGTGAATAAATCTTAGCCAAGAATCAAAAGGAGAAATTCTTCCCCAGTACTCTTGCTGCGCTTTTCCAAATGCAACTGAGGGAATAAAATAATGGGGGAAATATGTAAATCAGATAAACACATTTTCCTTCTTCCTGCTCACTATGATACTTCCAACAAGCGCTTATTTATATTGCTCAAACTGTGTTAATATTTCCATTTAATTTTTTAAAAAATTATAAATATTCATTAGATCAAGAACCAATCACAGGACAAACAAGCAAGATACCAGTTTAGGTAATACAGAGAGAACTTCTATTTCTTGATGGTCAAAGACTGTGCAATGACAAATTGCTGTTTTTCTCTGAAAGTATGGCGACAAAGCTAGGCAGCATCCAGTTCTCTTTTAAAACTAAAGGAAGGATGCAGAACTCTGGATTAATCAAAATACTATAGACTTCTTCTGGGGAATAAGGCTCCCCGTGTAAAATAAAAATAGACACTACTTGCCCTATAACTGAAGCGCCACTGAGGAATAACATTAGCTGAAATTCTTCTTTGAAAGAACTCTCATGAATAGATGGGCCAGAACCACTGGTTCAGAGGTTTGGCATGGCTAATTTCACAGCCAAACAGCTGATCCATGTCTCAGTGTCCTGTCCCGCCTCCTCTGGGTGCTGCTGCTAAATGGGCGCCTGCTGGAGGAGGCGGGGCGCCAAACCACCGATCAGCTGTTGAGTCAGAAAACGAAGCGTGCTGAACCGCTGAAACAATGGTTCATGCCCATCTCTACTCAAGAATATAAAAACTCTGCCACATGGCAAGAAATTACTTATATGCATTTCTTTTTACACTGTGAAGACCTGAGCAGTCTTGAAACAGAACTTGCGACAAGGTACTTCAGCTTGCTTCTGTGGGGCTTCAGTTTATATGGCAAGGCATGTATACTAAGAAATTGAATTCTAGCATAGAATTCTTGCCTTATGTTCACACTTCGCTAAGCATTACCTGCATGTCTATCCTTCCTTTATATCACTCACCCACAGAGAGTAAAAATGGCTGCAGACTTGATTTAAGGATGATGGTTTAAATCCAGCTGGCAGTCCCAAATGTAGACCGACTGAATTAATTGCTGACTAGTAATTGAACACTCACATAACTCCCCCTGATTCAGTGCGCCTGTTATAGTTGGTAGGACTAGTGGTTGGAATTAGGCATATTATGTCAGGGAACGAGATCACAGACAATAATTAGTTAGCGATCACTCTGGAACAAACAGCACAACAAAGTCTTACATAAGAAAGAAAATAGTATTTTCTCTTCTGAAAGTAGTTTAACCACTGGTGAAAACATTACCCCAGTCTTCATTCTGTGTGAACAGTACCCACAGAAGAGAAACATGGGCTGTCAGCTGACAGTTCAACCTTGGGCCCACATTATTTATCTTAGCGCCTTGAGGTCTGAAAGGCATAATAGTTGGAAACAGTCAGCACACACAGGGGCCCGATGCATCCAGGCCCTTTCAAAGGCAGTGCAGTAGGAACTGGGGAGCACAACACCATAAATACAGTGCTCCCCTTTGGCACACTTGAAGTGGCTTTATCAATTGAATGCTACTATGACATGTCTGATTTTGTCAAAACCTCTTTTTTCCTTTTGCCCTGAGTAATTGTTTTTCATAAAACATACAAGTGAATCAATATATCAAACATTAACATTTCCATAAGATGGAGAATAGCACAACTGAATGAGAAACATTTCCTGCATAAAAAAAAACACAAAGAGAAACTCTTCTGAGGAAAACTGGATTATGCTTAGAAATGAAAAGTCTCTTGGTAAATAACAGAACAGTGCTTCAGGCAAGGACATTAGGAGACAGACCTGCTCTTTTACAGTTTCTTTTCTACATGTTATACAAATACCAGGTGACTTACCAACCACAGAAAATAGGCCAAAAGTTGTGTAGAGTCATCAGAGAGATCCCATCCAAGCAGAAAGGATAGCAGTTTAAAAATCAAATAGCTACATTCACTACATTATGAAGTGAGCAGAATGAGAGCAGATATTACAGAAAGAAAAGGTGTTTTTGTTTTGTAAGAGTACTGGGCAGTTCTGGTTAGACTAAAAGGAATCTCTTTACAACTCCATGACACCCACCCATAAATCCTTTCAATTGCTTTATATTAGTAAATATTCCCTGAAGTTTCTACTGTACCTCCAGTTCAAAAAACCTTACACAAATGCTTTCATTGTCCTACAAAATTCTGTTCTTCTAAAGCAGTGGCTTTCAGGAGACAATGCCTTGTGTCTCCTAGGGGTTGGATAAGCTGACAAAAAGCCCATATCTCTGCAGTTTGCAACCTGAGGAGACCACCTGGTGCACTGCAGAACCCACAATTTGTGTGGACCAACGGCTAGGCCCAAAATATGAACCCACAAATATGCCCCCTCCCCAAGCTATAGAAATGTGAAGGAATTCCATGGCTACAAGCAAAGGCTCCTCAGTTGTCCAATCAAAGTAGAAAGACTCCTTGAGAAATGAAGCTTGAAAAACCACTTGTCTAAAAAGCATTCACTCCTGGCATAATTAGGCAAAGATAATTTTTTTTTTCCAAATGTGCCGTGCCAACTCTCAGGGAGCCCCAATGAAATTAAAATTATAAAAGGCACTCTCCCTGCATGATACTCATTATCTTCTTGATAAACAGGAGACTAGCTGAATTCTGAGCCATTATCGAAACACTTAGCTACTAACCACTTTACACAGCATCAGAAGGTACTCCAGTGTTTGTAATGGTGACTTGCTTTTCTCTCTAAATCAGGACTGGGCAAACTTTGCTGGCACTGGGTGAGACAGAAGCCAGTGACTGATGGTACCAGAAACAAAAGGAGGTGAGCCCATCCCCACTCTGACTATCCCACTTCTTGGGACAAGGACAGATTGCTCTTGGAGGCAGCTTCTGAAATTATGCAGCTTGCCCATACCTGGAACTACTATTTTTCAGCTGGGATGTCTGCCCTTGAAGCTTCATACTTTTTGTGGGGGGGCCTGCTGAGCTGCATAAAGTTGTCAATACAGATTTTATGAAGGCTCCAGTTCAGATGCTCAAATCCCTCTTATGTGAGAGCCAGAATACTCAGAATATGCGTTTACTGTAAACTGGTAGCTTGTATTTAAGGACAGTAGGTTGTCTGTATCTTAGAACAGCCCTCTCACCTCGTCTTCCTTCAAATACATCACTGATTTCTCTTAAGAGCAGAGACATATCGCTCAGCTGGGACTCCCAAGCCTCACAGAACACATCTAAATTTTCTTTTGCAATCTTACTGGAAGGATGCAATGTCAGGGTTTCTGCTGCCGAGATTATCTGAAAGAAACAAAGCAGATCTTGTCATATTACATGAAACTGCTAATCAGCATCCGCCCTCAGAGGCACAGAATAAACATCCTTTCATTTGTATTTCAAAGAAAAAAAGGCCTAGCACAGCATTTGCTTAGCAAAGCCTTACAAGTGCTCAGGGACTTGACTGGGAATATTATGTGAAAATTCATTGTGAGAACACACATTTCAGCTGCATTATTAAAGCATAATGAACATAATTCCAGTTAGATTTCAAAATATATTAACTTTGGTAGCACTTCTAAAGGTCCATGGAGCAGAACTGTTTTAAGAAGCACATTGTAAAATGTGAAGGATAATGACCCAAACCCTGTTGCTCAACATAATAAATTAATTACACTAGGGTAGGCTAACTGAATCAAGGGGGATTTAGTGAGTCACCTCCTCTGTGGGTTCCGTTGATTTAAATGGGCCTTCTCTGGTTGTGACTTACTATGCTGAAGTAAGTCACATGTAGAAAAGAAACTGATTGAACTTATGGAGGAATTGACTCACCAAATCCCAGCTGATTCAATGGGTCTACTAATTTACCATACTAAGCAACCGGATTTGAATTTTAGCCTAGCTGTAGTTCTATATGAATTATATTGCAGCTGTGGCATTCTGGGTACTAAAAAACAATCCCTTTGCTTTCTGTCCTAAAGCAGTTTTGCTACTGAAGTTCTTGATGAAGTCAATGTGTATCTCTAATGTGGGTTTCAAAAGACCCTGTTATTCCAAAGCCATTAGGAAGCCATAACAATGTGAGAGACCAGACACTGCACATGAATGAAGATGATAATTTCAAAAGCCTAGCATCTCAAGGATTTGTAGCTGGGGAAAGTTTTCTGTCTGAGATTCTGGGGTACTATTAGCAGCACACAATATCAGGACACCTGGTCAAAGACCTAATATGATATAAAGTAGTTTTATATTTGTTTTCAAACGAGAGATTAAGAAAGTTACTTTTTTGGGAATACATCTAGAATCATCAGGCTCCTGGGAGCCGTAGTCCAAAAAGTAACTTTTCCAAGCTTTGGTTCAGACAAAGTATGAACTCTGGACTTCCACCAACATAAACTGAGGAAAGAACTTTGTTACCTGCCCCTTGCCATCCAGGTCAAAGTGTATTTCACCATCAGTTAACTAATACTTGAACAGAAGGGCTGACATCAATCTCCCTCTGAAACTTGAAGAAGCCCTAAAATGTTATTTTTCAGCTACCAGATGTAACTGATTAATTAATTGTTTTGATATTCATGTTTTTATTATGCATTTTTTATTGTGAAGTTAATTTGAATTTGTCTTTTGTGTAGAGAGGAATCTGTTTTTGTTGTGAACCGAATTGTGTTTACAGTACTGTGAAACTCTTTGAACAAAATTGGTTGGATTCAGATGTAGGCAACTGCAAGTAGTTTGGCTAGAGCAGATTTCCTTGGCCCATTCTCTTCTTGGCAGCCTTTCAGTGCCATGAAAATGTTTTGCACAGGACCAAGAGACCTGCAGGAAAGGAAGAGATGTAATGTGAGCATGAGGTGGGATGGGTGTGAAATGCACCTTCTCTGAGTAGAGCCACTTGGCTTTCAGAATGCACATTCCAGAATGAAGATCCTAGTTCCAACACTGTGTAAGTAAGCAAGCAGTTTACAAATGAAGACACACAGACTATCGTCTGGTACAAATTTAATTTTGGCTCAAAGCAAACAATAGTTTGTAAGTTGGGAAGCATCCTTGATTTATGTTTTCTCACTCTTAACCCTTGCCAGTGCTGACTCCTGTTTAGAAACAGAGGTGGAGATGTGTGGCCCTCCAGAAGTTGTTGGATTACAACACCCTCTTGGCCACTAGCCATGTTGGTTGTTACTGATGGGAACTGAAGTCCAGCAATATTTGGAAGCTACAGATTTGTCAACCTTGGTCCAGAATTACATAAGCACTGGCCCTCATAATGAGCAATGGTCTCTCCTTTATTTGATAGAAGAGAATCTGCAACGGCTGACAGTGGTTGCCACAATAATAAATACTGTATATGGCATGACATTGTTAATGGCTCCTACCTGGAATATATCCAAGCAACCATTTGTAAGCACAAATTCACATCTGAAATAATCTCTTTTCAACATTGCAAATTACACGTACCTGAGGCCCAGTCACAAGAAAAGTCGTAAGCACAAATTTACATCTGAAATAATCTCTTTTCAACACTGCAAGATAAAAATTAGACGTACCTGAGGCCCAGTCACAAGAAAAGTATCTTCTGCATGAAGACAAGTAATTTCAAGGGGCTCTGTTCCAGAGACATGCCTCAGTAAATGACATATCTAGAAACAAAAGCAGAAAAATTCAGCTACTAATTATGGAACTGGTAAGGTATACAACACAACATTAAGCATGGGTGCCAAATGATAGCATTCAGAATTTCAAAAATCTGAGCTCAAACTTAACCTCTGATGGCAAACGCTGTATCTGCTGAACATCTAAAATGTTGTGTGTACTTAACTCTTCCCCTTCCCTTAAATTTTCCTCTGAGCTCCTATCTTTCTTGCCTTTTTCTTTTAGATACCAAAAATGAGCCTAAGGGAAAGTGGCTGGAAGAAGACAGCAGAGATTGCCTGGCAAAAGGCCCAACATCCACTTGTCTCCCAAATCTTTCATTCCTCCCATTGCTTTATGGACATCTTGCACAGAGAATTGGGATCCACTTCTGGCCTGGCCTATGAGCATGCATCTTGAAATCAATGGTACTAAAAGTCGGTTTAGATTTTAAAACCCATGGACTTGATGCATTCATAGACAACTTTGCAGAAAGTGGAAGGGCAGAGGTATAGCACCTCAACTTTCTAAAATGTAACTCACTAACAAACCTATCTGCCGCAGATGTGGTTTCATCTCTTTGCTCTAAAGCTGCCAAATGGGAAGTACTATGGAGCTGTATGTGGCCAAGGTGCTCACAGTTATTAACCCATACCCAAAGGCAGGAGTGGATGAGCAAAATATATTCCTGGGACCAACAAAGCCACTAGTAAAGCTGACAAATGGGGGAGGGTGGGTGGTGCTCTATGAATGCCCCAGGTGAACCCAAATCATTTTGATTGTTTTGAACTCTAACACTTAGATATTTTTTGAAACAATTTTCTTGCAATAAATAGAGGAACGAACATGGCACCAACTTACTTCAACCAACTGTTCCTTCTGTTCGGAGAGCTTGCAGCTATGTTCTGCTACAGCTTCTATGTTACCCTCTGCTCCGGAGATTTTCAGTGCTTTCAAAATTAGATGATCTGAATGATATTTTATCAGGTCTGCTGCAACAGATGTTGCTGTACTGTGAAGCTTTGGTATTGTGGGTGGAGAAACACAAAACAGGTCAGTACACTGGATGGCACATGATGAACATCTATTGTTTTCAGGTGGTTAAAGTGTGAGCATAAAACCTCTTTTTCTCTCTCCTTCTATCTAAGAGTGATCAGTGAGTATGTATGGGTGGACAAATTATTAACAAATAATTGTAATTGATTTCATAAATCAATTTGCAAGGTTGGGATCACATAAAGAATGTTAGAACAATGTATAACAAGCAACAAATAACATAAGAGTACTGAACAGCAGAGGGAGGAGGGAAAGATCAGAGTTCGAAAAAGTTACTTTTTTGTATTGCACTTTTCAGAATTCCACAGCTAGCATGGCTAGCATGTTTCATTTTCAATTTTTTACAATGTTTCAGCATCAGGTTTAGCCAGAAAACTTACTGGCTCATGAAGGTGGTAACAATGACAACAACAGTGTGTCTACATCAAAGTATATACTGATAAAATCAATCACGTACAAACATGCAACACAACATTTAATCGCAAACTTAATATGTATATACATATATGAACCTGTACATCAACATAAAACTCCTCAAAAACTATAAACTAACTTTAAAAAATAAAATAAAATAAACAGGTTGCTGACCTCTCCCTACACCCCAACACCTATGGCTCCAAGTTGAACAGATAAGTTTTCAAACCTTGTCTTAATTTGGCGAACTCAAATTTGGGGAAAGAATTCAACAGCTTTGGAGCCAAGTGGGAAATGCCCAAAGCCTGGAATTTGTCACCTTAGTCCAAGAGAACAACAAAAATCTGGAATCTATGGACCAAGCCCTCTTAAGCGGAATATGCCATAATGTCAGCTCTGCTAAATAATTAGGACAGGAAGAGCACAGGGCTTTAAATGTCCAGACAAGGATATAAAATAAAAGAATGGAAGAGTGTGATGAATATGAGCCACAACGAGCTGAATTCTGCAATAATATTGAGCAACTTGCATTCCTGCACCCTGTCTACCTTCTATTAGGTAATAACTTAAAATAATCTTGGGGATGGGGGAGAGAAGCTTGGAAACTTAGTTGGAACTAGAATTATGTGACTGTATTTCTGCTGAACCAAGCAAGTATTTATTCTGTAGAAATTTCACAAAAAGTTCCAAAACATACTACACATGATATTAAGCCAAACTTACTTCTCGATGAAGCTCATTCATACACTGACACATTTTCAATATGGCTACTTCCAGTTCATCTGTGACATCCTTTCTTTTCTGGTTTTGCTAGAAACATACAATTGAAATCCAACAAAACTTATTACTTTCTTGCCATTTGTTTCTTCAATAACATTTTTAAGTAATGATTCAAACACAATTTTATACATAAACTTGCAACCCTATGGCTGAAATCCAGTATAAAGTTATAACTAGAGTAGGCCCATTGAACTTACACAGGTGCTGACTTATTAAATTCCCACTGATTCAATGGGTCTACTCTGGTTGTGACTAACTACTGGATTTTTGCCATTGCGTGATTACTTCGAGGCAGTCTCAGTGAACAATGTGAGGTCTGCTTTGAAGTAAATATGCATAGAACTGAATTATACAAACTCTGTTTTGCCTGGACACATCTCTATCATAGAACTATAATGGCTCATTTTATTTCTGTTAGCCAAGAACATGTTCCTAGAACCTGGTCAAATGAAGAGAAGTTGAAACCTACTATCCATTGTGTTTGCCCGTGCAGCCAAAGTATTAGAGACTTGGCTTGAAGTCATTTATTGACTGGGTCACCTTGGGCCCCTCTCTCTGTCAGCCTAATCTGACTTACAGCTATGAAGACAAAATGGACAGGAGGGCAGGACCTCTATCATCCTGCTTTTATATGGCAATCACTTGTGCTATTCCATCAGGGGATGGACTGAAGGCACATTTCCTAGCATCAACAACTGATGTGCTAACATCAGGCACTCTTAAACCATTCACTGAGTGTACCAAACCATTATTAACAAATACCATGGAAGACTTAAAACTTTGCAGAGTAACAAAGCATTATGTTCAGTGCAACAGAAGTGTTTTCTCCTAAAGTGCTATGAAGAATTATTTATAAAACTAATACTTGCACCTGCTCTTTTGTTTGGTGTTATAAATGTCTGCAACATTAAATTAAGGATAATCTGTTTTTAAGTGACAAGAATGATGATTACACTCACAGTGTTTGTCATATGATGGGATGTTATTAATGCTATGGTATTGAGGCATGATTGGAACATCTTGATAAGCAAGCGAAACTCTGTCTTACTACAGACAATTAGTATGTTGGTGCATGTTGTCCTATTACTTCTGCTTGCTGCAGGAACATTAGACAAACCAGGGACCTTTCACTTATGATTTGCTTAGCATGATCTCCATACTTGGCAGGAGATAAGACTCTGGCTTGTCTTTCTCCCAACAGGTGTTTTAACTTCGTTTTTCTTGTTTATCATGGAAGAAACAATCCAGAGCACTAGGTCATATTGTGTTTGTATTCCATGCTAGACAAACGACTTGCATTTAGCTGCAGTGGCCATGGTTCACCAATACATTTAATCATCTACAGTATTTCAGAATTCTAGCTTGTGATATCCAAACATGCCCAATGTGCTTCATGCACCTTCACCTGAAAGTATATTGCTTTCCAAGGAGGGGACTCAGCACTGCTAAGAGAAAGATATATCTTACAGCATACATCCATGCTGACACCAGCTGCTCCAGTTCCATTTTTGCTTGCTTGGACAGCTCCAGTATGTGTTCTCTATTCTCATGGCTAGTATATGCAGAATCTGTAAAATCCTCTGTGTGCTCAAGGATAACACGGAGCATTGCTCGAAGGTTCTCCTTCGACAGAATAAAAAGGTTGTCCCGCAAACCTTCCACTTTATTCTGAAAAACGGAAGGAAAGATAAACATGACAACATCTCCCCAAAGCGGAAGAACCACATATATCATATCTACTGTCGTCGTTGTCATTTAGTTGTGTCCAACTCTTCGTGAGCCCATGGACCAGAGCATGCCAGGCCCTCCTATCTTCCACTGCCTCCCGGAGTTGGGTCAAATTCACAGTGGTCAAGGGACTGAATTATGAATCTGAAAAGTCAAATCCTACATCTGCTCTGTGATCTTAGAAAATATGCTTTATGAACATCCCAGCTGTAACATGATAAAAATAATAATACTGAACCACCTTACAAAGGGTATTATATTAACAGAGGTATTATTACATTTTGAAGTACTATCTTGATTATGTATTATATTCTGTCTGATTTGACTTCAGTTTGAAATCTTTTGTTAATAAAGCTAAAAGTGGCATCTAAAATCTAAATTTTGATTATCAATTGCCCACAATGTAATGTCAATACATATCCAGGGCTATACATGTCTAATTTATCTCCACTGTGATATGGAAACTAATGATGAAATATGGAAATGTACATATATTAAGAAAATGCAAACAAAATGGAAACATGTTCTCAAAAAAAAAAAAAAACCTGACACAGGAGACACAGCAAACTTCTATTTCAGCAAGTTACTATTAATTAGAAATTATCTTCTGCTCCAAGCACATTCTTCATTTTTTTCCTCTCACATTGTCTATCTACTGTTGTCCTTTCGAATGTACTACTTCTTTGTATTGATGTAGAAAATGTCTGAATCTTAGTTGAATGTCCAAACTAGACTGGGCTTGTTATATTTTGGCCACAGACTTGTCAAGACAACAACCCTAGGAAGAGAAAGTAACACTAGGAAAAGTGGAAGGCCCCAGAAAGAGAAAGATGTATTTCCACATTTGGATTGACTCCAGAGAGGAAGCGACAAACTTTAGTTTGCTAGACCTGAGCAAGCCTGTGAACGGGTGGAGTGAGAATATTGATTTGTAGGGCGGTCTAATCAGAAAGGACTTGATAGCACATAACCACCAAAGGAAACAGTTGACAAAATTACTCACCACAAGAATGAAACAGTCCTTGTATGAAAATACTGTAACATTCACATGAAAAGCAAGAGGTGAATTCCACTCCTATGTTGGAGAGGAGGAACCTATGACCTACAGGTCTCATCTGGCCCACACAGGCTGTCACTCTAGCTTCTGAAGGCTCTAAAGCTCCATCCACCCACTCAAGAATTCCCAGTATTATGCACAATGCCTGTAGGGCTTCCATTCATGCAGTGCCTCAATTAGAACAGAGTAACTGCAAGGCACAAAACTTAGCAAGCAGGCACACTTGGCCAGCTCCTGCAAATTCTGTTGAACTGCAAATTCTTCTTTCTCATCCCCAAGTGGCTAAGAGAGAAGGGAAACAAAAACATCCCTGGCTGAAACATTAGGCGGTATTTGAGAGACCATTAATTGTGACATGGGATGCAGCTACTCTTTCTGAAATCAACTGGCTCACAGAAAGTTTGGAAACCAACTGGTTCCCACCACCCCAGCCATCCCCTGTATTTATCGGTCAGGTATCCCTCATGTGAAATTCAGAGTCGTATCTCATTTTTAAAAAATCCTTAACACACACTGGAGTTTTAGAAACACACAAACGCACACATAATGTGGTGCCTGTCCATAGGGTTGTGTGTGTTCTTTTTTTCTATAAGCTGTTTTTCAGCATCATTTCCCCTTTCTATATAAAGACTTTGGAGGGCCCCAGATTTTGGCACTGGTTTGCCCAAAGACATTTACTGATGGTGACCTTCAAAATTTCCATGCAGAACTGCACAGTGTTTTTCATCTACATCTCTAAGCAGGTTGGGATGTGCATAAAATGTATGGTACAAACAAGACCACACCAAAATATTCAACAGTTTCATTTCTTTTAATCCAAATGACCAGAAATACTCAGGTTCATGAATTTTGGGATTAAGATATACTCTCAAGATAAAAGTTAATTTCTCCTCACCTTGAATTCCTTAATGCCAGTATAGATGCTCACTGGGCCTGGCTCATTCTCTCCACTGGGCCGACAGTCTGTTACAATCTCTATTACTTGCTCCAAAGCTAATCTCATTCGGTGGAACACGGCTGCTTTGTTTACACGTGCAGATTCACAGTCAGGATGCCTTAAACAAGTCTTGAAAATACATTTTAAAGAATGTTATCCAGAAAGCTCTGTATAGCCTGCTGAGATGAAGCCTCATATGATACACACTACTGCAAGCAAAACAGATGAGGTTGATTAACCGTCCTATCAATTAATCAACTACTGTGTTTGTCAACATCTCTACCACTGCGATTTAGACAGCCCTCCAGCTTCCCTCTGTGTTGCTTAAGTCATTTTTTTCTCCATGTATTTCTGGCAAGTATAAAGACTCCTTAGGGCAGCTCTCAAGGCTTGGCTTTGCCAACGAAAAACAGGGGAAAGGATCAGTTACCTTGGAAGCTGTGAGAAGCATCATGGTACATTTCTCAAGGACAGCCCTAGCAGCAGCCATCTTAGCCTTTTTCTTTTCATCCTTTAGATCCTAAATAAATAAATAAAAGGAATATGTTATTAATGGGAAGTGACTAAAAAAAGTTTTAGCTGCTTATTAACAGATCAGGTGATCTGGCAAAGGAGGGCAAAACCAACAAACCAGTTTCTGCCTTCATTTATCTGGATTCTCTGGGTTAGATCAAGGCTTGCTCCTTCTTCCATGCACTGAAGGAAACAGGATCCAGAAAGGGCTTTCCACTGAAGGTAGGAGGCAAGACTAGCAGCAATCTAATGTTTTTCAGTTCAGTCGCCCTTAAGACAGGCAAACTCACCCTGCGTGAAAGGGTGAATTATTTTTACCAATTCCAACTGCCACTTACAGCCCACAGAGCTAACTCCCTTGCTGCGGCCCAGAGTCCTCCAACCATCATCTGCAATGGGGAGGGAGTGGTCATTAGAAGAAAGAGATATCTGAAATCCCGCCCTCTTCCTTCAGCACTCTGCCTAATGCAATCTGGATCCAGCCTCTGAAGATGCTTCTACCATTTTGGGCAGATGAGGCTTTGACGTTCCTTTCTAACAAATTTCTATTAGTTATCATGAAGATGGGCAAGCTCCACTGAATCCTGTTCTGCTACCAGACCTTGTTGCAATTCAAACACAGCCTTCAAGGAGGCAGCATCAAGAAGCTTCGGCTTAACCTAATCGCTACACTCAATTAGAGAGATAAAGTCTCAAGATGTGGGGTGGGGGGAAAATTGGTTTTATTCTAAAACTTGCCAATACATTTTGGTCTATGAGAAAACTATACAAAGTTATTTGGGAGTACTTCCACACTACCTCCTTTTTCCCCTCTTTTTTTAAAATTTAAAAGTCCAAAAACATTAATACATTGTAAACCAGGGCAGGCAGCCTTTCTTCCTCAAATCTACCTTTAAATTATTTTTCTTCCAAATTCCAACAGATGCTACAGCCATCTGTTATCCCATGGTGTTCAAGATATGTTTTATACCCATGTCTCAATTTTTCTTATTGGTAGTGACAAAACTGGAAGACATTCCCAATTAAATTAGCCAGCAACAAGAAAAAGTTATACTCTGCCTCCTTAATACAAGTTTAACCTTAGAATTCTGTAACCAAGAAAACATTATAAATAACTTAGTCAATCAATAACAACTAAGTAACTTTGTTGTTCACTCTCTACAGAGTCTTGAAGAAACAACTAAACTGATTTTGAAGATTGCTAGCTCACATATCCAGCATTATTCCTCGAGGCACAAGTAGCCTCCAAGATCCAAAGTACCTTTTACCAACATGGGCCTATGTGCCAAGTATGACCCTATCTTCTGGACAGAGGTCAGCTAACTATCCACATTTTAGTACAGTGGTGCCTCAATGATGAATTCGCATAACAATGGCCTTTGCTGGAAATTTTGCCGCCTCACCTAACGATGTTTCCTATGGGGGATTTTTGCATAACGATGTTTGGGACCTTGCTTCACTTAACAATGACAGTTTTAGGTCCCCTGTTTCGCTTAACGGTTTTTTTTTTTTTGGCAGCCCTGTTTTCGCTTTTTTTAAAATATTCTAAAATGTTTTAA